GACTGAGGACTTCTTGTTATTAATGATATCATTATTGTTGTTATTGTAAGACGTTTGTTACTTATTATGATATTGACATGGTATATCAGTATTTTTTTTTTATAATAAAGGCCAATCACACCTAATATCACTAATGTTTTCCTGTATTCTTCATACCATCGTCATCACCCACCGCGTCATGTTCATCATACCGACCTAACATCGTCACCACATTCACCACACTGTATCACATCACCAACATACATCATCACCAGTCGTCTTCACCATCACCAATCACCACCTCCATTAATTAATTACTTGCATCACCATCGCCGCCAGCATCACCGTCACCAACATCGCGAACGAACATCACCACCAATCATCTCCATCATCATCATCACCATCATTTGTTACCTGCATCACAATCACCACCTACATCGTCACCACCACCACCATCCTCATCATTCATCATCACCACCACCGCCGGCAAGCATCACCACGACCATCGATAATTCATGCCAGCCTGCCACCTATACCGTCACCACCATTCCTCACCTGCTTCACCATCACCACCAGTCATTCACCACCTCGTCACCACCACCACCACCGCCGCCAGCATCACCACGGCCATCAATAATACATGCCAGCCTGCCAGCCTGGGTAATGTTACAAAGCCCCCTTGTGGGCGGCGCTGGCTTGAAAGGTGCCAGGCCAGTGACACCTCCGCCGGGCGCCGCCTCAAAGAACATTTTTTCTACTCCTTTCTGTCGGACTTTTGTTCTGTTTTCTGTATGGTTGTTTTTGTCATGTTTTTGGCCTACGCTTTTTTTTTTTCTCTTTCTTTCTTTGTCTTTTTGTCTTGTTTAGTTTTTTTTTCTTTTTCTTTGTCTTTTTTGTCTCTCTTCTTGTCTTTTTTTTCTGGTGGGGATTTCGTTTTCTTTTTGTTTCACTTTTGGTGGGGCTTGTCTTATTTTCCTTCTCTTTTCTTTACCTATTCTTTTTCTTCCTTTTTTTTCTTTGTTTTTTTCTTTATTCTCGTTTTTTTCTATTAATTTCTTTTTTCTTTGTTTTTTCTATTCTTTTCCTTCCTCTTTTCTCTGGCTTTTTTTCTATTTTCTTTTTTTCTCGTCTTTTTTTCTTGCTCCGGAGAGAAATTATGTTACAGGAGTTTTGGGTCTCTCAGGAGAGCTCACCTTGCGACATTTATTTTTTTATGGATCCAAAATATATACATTTTTAAATTCTCCGTGTCGGGGATATTGTTTCTGTTTTTTTTTTCTCTCTCTCTTCTCTCTCTCCTTTTGCGTTTGTTTTCCTTTTTTAAACGCTTTTCTCTTTTTTCTCTTGTCTTCTCTGTCTTTCTCTTTCTCTCAAACTCTCCCTCTTCTCTCGCTCTCTTTTCTCTCCTCTCTCTCTCTCGATCTCTCTCTCGTCTCTCTCTCTCTCTCTCTCCTCTCTCATCTCTCTTCTCTCTCTCTCTCTTCTCTCTCCTCTCTCTCTCTCTCTCTCGTCATTCTCTCATCCTCTCTCTTCCCTCTCTCCCTCATCTCATCATCATTCC